GTCATTGATAATAAACAAACACAGTTGCAGCGATCGGTATGAGTGTGATACAACACATGGTTTCAGCTAAGAGTGAAATAGTTGTAGCTATGTTAGCCTGGTTACCTTTTTCTTATTTTGTAGGTCGTTCAGCTCTCAACATTAGTCTGGACTAGCGGGTCAACCCGCTCTTGATTGGCTGATAAATATAGCACACTGCTAATCTGAATATGCTAATTTTTCAAACAATGGCTGACCATGACTTGATTGGTTGATAAATATAGCAAGCTGCTAATCTGAATATGCTAATCTTTCAAACAATGGCTGACCATGACTTGATTGGCTGATAAATATAGCACACTACTAATCTGAATATGCTAATTTTTGATCAATGGCTGACCATGACTTGATTGGCTGATAAATATAGCACACTGCTAATCTGAATATGCTAATTTTTCAAACAATGGATGACCATGACTTGATTGGCTGATAAATATAGCACACTACTAATCTGAATATGCTAATCTTTCAAACAATGGCTGACCATGACTTGATTGGCTGATAAATATAGCACACTACTAATCTGAATATGCTAATCTTTCAAACAATGGCTGACCATGACTTGATTGGTTGATAAATATAGCACACTACTAATCTGAATACGCTAATTTTTCAAACAATGGATGACCATGACTTGATTGGCTGATAAATATAGCACACTACTAATCTGAATATGCTAATTTTTGATCAATGGCTGACCATGACTTGATTGGCTGATAAATATAGCACACTGCTAATCTGAATATGCTAATTTTTCAAACAATGGCTGACCATGACTTGATTGGCTGATAAATATAGCACACTACTAATCTGAATATGCTAATCTTTCAAACAATGGCTGACCATGACTTGATTGGCTGATAAATATAGCACACTACTAATCTGAATATGCTAATCTTTCAAACAATGGCTGACCATGACTTGATTGGTTGATAAATATAGCACACTACTAATCTGAATACGCTAATTTTTCAAACAATGGATGACCATGATGTTGATTGGCTGATAAATATAATAATAATAATAATAATAACTTTATTTAATTAAGCGCAACAATTCCAACATATGAAGATCAAAGGCGCTGATACAATATAGCACACTACTAATCTGAATATGCTAATTTTTCAAACAATGAATGACCATGACTTGATTGGCTGATAAATATAACACTACTAGTCTGAATATGCTAATTTTTCAAACAATGGCTGACCATGACTTGATTGGCTGATAAATATAGCACACTGCTAATCTGAATATGCTAATTTTTGATCAATGGCTGACCATGACTTGATTGGCTGATAAATATAACACTACTAATCTGAATATGCTAA